GGCGGTCGCAGGGCCTCCCTCCCGCCCAGGGCTCCTGTCTGCCGCAGCCCGTCACCCCGTGTGCCACTTACTGTTATTCCCCCTCGCTGATCCCAGCCCCTCCGCCCCCCCCGCCTCTCCTCCGTCCCAGGGCACCACTTACCAGAAAACCGACGCCACCGTGGAGATGAAGCGGCTCAACCGGGAGCAGTTCTGGGAACAGGCCAAGGTGGGGTACGGGGCGGGCAGCCGGTGACCCCCAGACAGCGGGGTGAGCTGCCGGTGGGCTGATGGGCAGCCCCATCCTTCATCCCCCCACTCCACCAGAAAGAGGAGGATCCTCCGTCCCAGGGCACCACTTACCAGAAAACCGACGCCACCGTGGAGATGAAGCGGCTCAACCGGGAGCAGTTCTGGGAACAGGCCAAGGTGGGGTACGGGGCGGGCAGCCGGTGACCCCCAGACAGCGGGGTGAGCTGCCGGTGGGCTGATGGGCAGCCCCATCCTTCATCCCCCCACTCCACCAGAAAGAGGAGGAATTGCGTAAGGAGGAGGAGCGGAAAAAGGCCTTGGACGCCCGGCTGCGGTTCGAGCAGGAGCGGATGGAGCAGGAGCGGCTGGAGCAGGAGGAGCGGGAGCGGCGCTACCGGGAGCGGGAGGAGCAGATTGAGGAGCACAGGCACGGCGGGGGCCGGGGGAGCGGGCTCTGTCCCGTCAGATGTGGGACAGTCACACACCCAGGATGGTTGTGCATGTGCCGTGAGCAGCTGGGTGGGCGCATGGGTGTTTGTCTCCACTGAGGACAGGACTGGGCAGGGGCTGATGGGCAGGGACTGGCAGGAACCAGTGCCCAGCCCCTCTCCCGTGCCCCCATTGCAGGCGGAAGCAGCAGAGCATGGAGGCGGAGGAGGCCCGGCAGCGCCTGAAGGAGCAGTCCATCTTTGTAAGTGTTGCGGTGGGCATGGGGCTGGGACTGGAGCTGGAGCTGCCGCCTGGCACTGCCCCCAGGGAAGGGCTGTTCCCCGCCGGGCCCCCAGGGCGTCCTGGGGCCAAGGGGTGACACCGTGTCTCTTCCCAGGGGGAGCAGCAAGACGAGGACGACCGGCAGCAGCTCAGGAAATCGGAGTCGGAGGTGGAGGTGAGTGTGGCGGCAGCCCTGCCCTGGTGCTGGTCCTCACTCCCCAGCCAGCAGTGCCCACAGCTGGACAGGGATCCAGCTGGGGGGGGGGGATCCCGCAGCCCCATGCCACTGGGGCGGTGGGTGTCAGCCTCCCCCGTC